ATGTATATATAATTTTTGTTCACATATATTTAATTTTATGTGACTCTTTGTTTATGTTTATATTTTTCAAGCTGTCTATCTATCTATTTATCTATTTGGTTTTGTGATTATTGATATATATGTCTGTGTAATTGTTATTATAATTTATTAGCAAAATGAGGGAGCAATAGTTTCATTAATCAATCTGCTGATAATTGAATAATTAACTTAAATTGGCATTCCGTCTATCTCTTTATGTCTATCGCCTTACTTATCAGTCATTCTGTCTGTCTATTTGCATTTTTATCTGTTTATTCGTCTCTTCATCTATCTATCCATCTATTTTCGCATCCATACACCAATTCATCTATCCACTTATCCACTTCCACCCACCCATCTCTCCCTCACCCACCCACCCACCCACACCTCCACAACCCACTTCCACCCACCCACTCCTCCTCCCCACCCACCCACCCACTGCTCCCCCCACCCAGCCACTTACCTCCCCACCCATTCCTCCTCCCCCACCCACCCACTTTTCCCTTACCCCCCCCCATTCCTCCCCCCATCCACCCACACCTCCCACACCCACCCATTCCTCCCCCCACCCACTTCTCCCCCTACCCACCCACCCATTTCTCCCCCCACCCACTCACTTCCCTCTACCCCCCCCCCCCCACCTACTTCTCCCCCCCCCACCTACTTCCACCCAATCCTCCCCCACCCACCCACTTCCACCCCCACCCACCTACTTCTCCCTCCCCACCCCCTCCCACTTCCACCCACCCATCCACTTACCTCCCCAACTAACCTCCCTTTTCCGCCCCCCCAGGCCTCATGAAGCTGCAAGAAATCATTAGGTCACCGCCAGACAAGAGCATCGAGATCTACATCAGGCAAGGTCATCCGGAGAACTACAGAGACATCTTGAAGGAGGTCAAATATAAGGAGATTTTCAGCGTCATCGTCGACACGCTGCCGGAGAACATGCATTTGTTTCTGAGATGCGTGAGTTTGGCGGTTTTTTTTTGTGCTTTTATTGGGGGGGGGGGGGGAGGGGGGGATGGGTTGTTTGGTGTTTTTTTTCTTTTCTTTTTTTGAAGGGGGAGGGAGGGGGGTTGAAGGATGGGGTACTGTTTTTTTTTTGTGTTGTTATGTTGCTATAGTTTTTAGAGGTGGATGTAGGGAAATATGTAGCGTACATCTACACACACACACACACACACACACACACACACACACACACACACAGATACCCACGCACACACTTAAAATGAGGACACCGAATTGGCTTTACAGGTCAGATAACAACTAAAAACAGCAACTTAAATATATTCATAGATTTTGTTCATATATCTGGTGTTGAAGAGAAGTAGAATTCTCTATTTCCTTTTTGGGGAAAATTTTTTTAATCAAAATATAGGTTTAGGACAAACTGTATACATATATATGTATATATATAAATATAGATATAAATATAAATATATATATATTTTTTTCTTTTCCGTTTGTTCCCTTCTTTCTCTACGTCTGTTTTTTCTTTCTTTTTTGTCATGGCTGTCATTTCCATTTCCTCGTTTATTGATATTCTTAACATATTTCTTTTCTGAAATGTCTCTTTTTTGTCTTTTTCAGCTTCTACAGTTACAGATGAATGACTATAGATATCATTATCTCTTCACAACCTTCGTAAGTATTGATTGATAAAAAAAAAGTTTGTCTCCTTATTTTTGACAATTTATGACTATTTCTTTCTTATAATCTAACATAATAATAATGAAATATATATAAGTATTGGCAGTTTTTTTCTGTAAAATAATATAATAAAATAAAATCATGCTTGAGCAGAAACGGTTGTCATTGTAACGAATGCAAAGTGGATTGTATTAATAAAAGTTGAAAATAACATGAATATTGACAATGATAACAATAATGACCCCCACTTTTGCCTTCTCTCACTACCCCTCCTCCCCCTTCCCCCCCTCCCTCTCAAACCTATCCATCACCCTTCCTTTTCTTACCTTCCCCTTTCCCCTAAACACTCCTTCTTACCCATTCCCCTTCTCTCTCGAACCTCTCCATTTCCCCATTTCCTATTCCCCTTTCTTCCCCTCCCTTGTTATCATGTCCTTTCTCTTTTTTCTTCTCCCTGTCCTTCACCCCCATTTCTCTTCCCATCATCCCCCCTCCCCCCCCCATTTTCCTTCCCTATAACCTATACCACTGGCCTTACCCTTTCTAACTCCCCCCCCCCTCCCTCTCTCTATTCCCCTCCTCCCCCTTCCCTCCTTCCCCTTCTCCCCCAACTATACCCCCCCTCCCTTCTTCCTCACCCCCCCCCCCACCCCCACACCAGGACATCGAGACCTTTGATCTCGAGGATTTCAAGTACAACTTCGTCAACATGACAGCGTTTAGGGTCGTTGACACCAGCAATATTCACGTGAGAAGAACCCTTAGGGACATGGAGAAGTTTCAGCCCATCGGCCATTCCATCTTGAACAAGTCGACGATTATTAAG